AAGAAGCTACTCGGAGTGTGAAAACGAGAAGGTACGATGAGAACTCATTAATTCATTCATTTATTTGCAGTTCTACAAAATCCATGGAGGCGTCTGCCTCAGATATAGAACAAGTCAGCAATACAATATAACATGTGAATATACATACATAATCAGATAGTCATCATCGTCCAAATTTTAGACACTCAATACAAGAAGACTACTGTACAACAATGCATTCCATATATCAATTTTTTGTTCCATCACATCCATTTGAAGCCGGAGCCTAAATACAGAGTTGTGTCAAATTATCTTGCTAATACGATCAAACAATCTATATAAATAAAAATGTAAATATCCGTTTGTCACTCCTCGGAGATCTCCGAAATTCCTTCACCGATTGCTTTGAAATTTTGACACAACATTGCATTCGAACACGCGCGTTTGTTTATATACTTATTATATAGATGTCACCCCCGTGACAGGTAAAAACACGTAAAAAACGTTATACTTCGTCCATCGAATACCAACAGATCGTTGCCTAGGAATAACCGTCGCAAGAAACTGTTGAAATATCGGATCGTTGCCTAGGAATATCCGTGCAACGAACTGTTGAAGCAGCGATGGCAACGAGCTGTTGTGGCAATGAAATTTTCGTTTTGATTTTATTATTTCGTGTTACATTGCGTTGGAATTGGGCCTAGTCGTTTATTTCGTGAGTATAGTTCTTCACCGATTGCTTTGAAATTTTGACACAACGTTGCATTCGAACACGAGCCTGTTTTTATATATCTATTATATAGATGTCACACCCGTGACAGGTAAAAACAGGTAAAAGTATTAATTGTATTTAATATTAATATACTGTAACGTGTTATACGTCGAATACTAATAGATCGTTGCCTAGGAATAACCGTGGCAACGAACTGTTGGTGTTATACGTCGAATACCAACATATCGTTGCCTAGGAATAACCGTGGCAATGAACTGTTGAAACACCTGGTCGTTGCCTAGGAATAACCGTGCCAAGAAACTGTTGAAACAGCGGGTCGTTGCCTTGGAATAACCGTGGCAACGAACTGTTGAAACAGCGGAAATAATGCATTTCTGCGGCAACGAGGAAAGAACACGTGAAATGGAACCCTCGGCGAAAGTGCCCTCTATTGCGTCCGAAACCGGATTATAATAGTCCAGCTCCGAAGAAATTTTCGGTGATACTGGACGTGATAATAATTGTGCTCGCTGGTGTAAAAGTGAGCGTTCAATAACTTATTCGCTGAATCCGAGACATGCGTGGAAGTTATTTCGTAAGTATAGTTTATTTTTCGTTGTTTTTCTTTTCGTTTTCTAAGAACAAGCTTAGGTCGTCATACTCGCGGAGTGGAAGCAATGCGTAGAGTAATTTCAAATCAAGCTGGGGAAGAATGGGCAGACTGAGCCACAGCAAGGCGTGGCCGGGCACAGCTAGTATAATATATATAAATAAGTGTATGTATTGTTTGTACTTACATGACGACCAGTAACAAAGGATCCATTGCATAAGCAGTTTAATAGTGAGTCATGACAATTTATTACCTATAAAATGCCTGACGATGACTGAAAAACCAAAACATGTAGCATTTCAATAAAACATCAGTATTGAAAAGGAAAACTGAGCCAGGATAGTGCAGTTGGTATAGCAACTGGCAATGGGCTGGATGACCAAGGGGTTGGAGTTTGAGTCCCGGTAGGGTCAAGAATTTTCTCTTCTCCATGTCATCCTGACTGGCTCTGGGGTCCACCCAACCTATCCAGTGGGTACGAGAGGCTCTTTCCCCATGGGTAAAGTGGCTTGGTCATGAAGCTGATGAGGTCAAGAAAATGTGGATCTATACACCCACTATGCCTTTATGGCATAGTGCTCAATTAAGCACAGACGCACCTTTACAAGAAAGTTCTGATTAATGGATATACTATATATATTATTGAAAGATAGTAGACTACCAAAATTGTAGGAAGAGGAGAAATTATTAAATTCATTTATTCCTGTATATATGTCTAATGTTCTTCTTCATACTGTGTGTTGTGTGTACTGTTTCCTTTGATCTAATAGTTTTTAACATCCTTTGTCAAACCATGACTTATTTTTCTTCAATAACCTGGGCTCTCTTGGCTGAAATGTTTATATTCTCTCTAATAGTTCCCCAGAGTAGTGGAAGGGCTTACATCATCATGTACATTTTCCAAAGCTGTATACCTATTTGAGATTTAAACTTGATACTGTTCTTTACCATCTACAACATTTAGTTTTGAACCTCTCCATATGAAATTTATGTGTTATTTGTTTACTCACTGCCAGTCTTTCCTTAGCTTTTGCCTCCACAAGATAGTGGTCAGTATCACAGACCACTCCCTTGAAAGAGTGGATATTAAGTGTACTTGATATCTGATCTTTTAGGGGAGTGGACTACTTACCCTTCATATCTTGAGGGAGCCTCAGGATGCACTGTGTCCTGGTGCAGGATGTATCATAAACAACAAGTGATTATCCATTCATTTTTTTATTAAATAACACAATATACATAAGGGGATCAGCTGCAGTTTGCACGGTGTTCTAATGAGAGTTGAACACCATGTTACACTGAATGTGAGAAAGGTTACCATTCTAAAGTAGCACCTGTTCCTTCAGTTTCATGAGAAACCAAAACAGAATATGCAGCAGGCCTCCAACAGCAGGCATTGGACCAATCCCATGGGACAGCAGTGAGAAGAGCTGTGAACATAAGGCACAATTCTGCTATAAGAAAATGAAGAGCACTCTCAATATATCATTAGAATTACAATTACAACATTTAACCCCAGCTACGTTTAATTTAACCATTAAGAATTGTGTCAAAATGCATGGGAACCACACAGAGCATCTACTGTAGAGCTCACACAAACACTGCCTTTACCTCAGCAGGCATTGCTTTCTGGACATTCACTGACTGGGACTTTTTGCTTTGTTCAGTGAGTACTGTACCCCCCCTAAAGTCTGTAACCCCTTTTTTAAACACCGTGTATATAGTATATAACACTAGTGGATCCACTCAGCTTACGTATAAATTTATGTTAAATACAAGATACAAGAATTTAACTAAAAACTGGGCTGAAGATGGCACATGTATGCTAAAACAAGTTGTTGTAGACAGCAACTCCACCAACTGAAAACAATGCTGTGTTGACAGGAATATAATAAATATTATGTATATCAATTTACATACCAGCATGCAGCAGAATGATGAGCACAATTGTAAGCTGTGCATTGTGTATTGAAGCCAAAATAAAACATTTGAATTCACTGTATAACTTCACACAGTATAACTGCTTACACATTGACATGAGCAGGCACTAGTAATGTATAGCACTGTTTCCCAAGGCCAGAAAACTCTACATATCCATGTACCATCTCCTAAGCATATGTGAGATTGCATTCTTTTTCCTGGTTTCTTTTGGAGCAAAGAAATATAACTGCTTTGACACTGGAAGAGGTCTTTGCTGTGCCATGTCTGAGGTCAAGCTTGGGCATAGCCAACTGGCAGCAGAATAGTGTGGGAACATCCCACATTATCACGCATTTCTGCAACGCTCGCTCTTCACATCACTTTTCACCATCACGTGCGCTAACCAATCTGATTGCTTCAAACGTTCATATTCATACTGGGATCGCTCCTGGCCCGCATCTACGTCATTACGCGCGCTAGCCAATCAATTCTTCCTCCGCACTTTCGAGTTTGGCTCCGCCCCACCGACCAGCGTATAAAAAGGAGCGACTCCAAAGCCGAGTCATTCAGTTCAGTTCAGTTCAGTTCAGTTCAACGCAGTTCATCATCAGGCTATGAGCTAGCCACATCAAGCAACTTCAACCAGCAGGCTTCGTCGGCAGCGCTCGGTCTTCGGAGACATCGGCAGGCTGCGCCGGGCACGACTGCCTCGGCTCTCCGGCGCTCTCACACCCGACTCACTGGGGCACCGCGCCTGGACTCGCCGGTGGTCGTGTTACGGTCCGACTCACTGGGCATCTGGCGTAGCCACTGCCTCATGGCTCCTGCGACCGCGCTCAACGACTAGCCTTTTCACCAGCCATTCACCGTAACTAGCCTTTCTCCTTACCGGCGCGCGCCGCGCTACCTCACCGGTCAATCATCTCAGCAGCCACGGTCCTTTTCAGGGCCAACAAACTGTTCCGAAGAAGTGGGTTGTCATCGGAGTAATGACAAGAGCCCCACAATAGCATTACTTTCAATTTTTGATTAATTACATTGAAATCCTCAGGTAAGGTTTATTTGGAGAATACTGGATTTTAACACTAAATTGGAGAAAATCTTGTATGGTGGAAATTCAATGTTCAGATTATTGACTTTGGATCAGCAAAATTGAATACAAAATGAGGAAAACCTGTAAATCAAGAAAGGTTAAATGGGGGAACCACTCTTCTGTTTTTATTGTAATTACTCTTATTATCGTTATACACCAGGCTAAGTTTCTTTCTTCCCTGTTTTCTGTTTAAAATTGATGCGAGCATTACATATTGTTTATATTTTATGTCTTTAAAGTATCCTTTTCCTTTTTCTATATGTTACAACTCACTGTTATGTGTTTGTGTAAAGTTTGATACTCCTAAAAGCATAAATATATATTTTCTAGGGTAGGAGAGGATGTGGAAAGTTTGCATGATCAGGTTGCATGAGACAGAAAAAGGTAAGAATCACTGACATAAGAAAAACTGAATTTGAATGAAGCAACTAAGTAAATTGCCAGTCACGGTAGCCGAGCAGTCTAAGGTATGTACTGTCTTTGCTTGCTTGGTAACCGGGATCGTGGGTTCAAATCCCACTCAGGGCATGGATGTTTAGTTTGTGTGTGTGCGTTTTTCTGTGTTTGTATACAGGTAGAGGCCTTGCGACAAGCTGATCACCTGCCCAAGGAGTCCTATCGAACGTGTAAGATCTAGAAAAACTGAACGGAGAAGTTCATGGCAGTAGGCCTAGGCCCACTGGGGCTGTAGTGCCAGGGGGGGGGGACTCAGTAAATTAAAGTATATAACCATCAAATAGATGAAGTAGAATACAGAGCCATGGAACTGCATATGCAGGACATGTGTGTACTTTATACATCTCAGATATGTGTATGTACTCTAAACCCTATGTGTACAGAAGCACAAATTTCATTATGTTTCTTACAACTGAAATTCAGATAAACAATACGCAAAGAAAAACCCATATTTTGTTTCAAGATATATGCACATTGAACTTGGTCTTTATCCTGGGATGCTGTCATTTTCCTTAACCAGGTCTCTAATTATCCTGAGATAGATTGTGTTGATTAAGTTTATTCAAAAGTATTCCCACAATGTAACTTGAATATAAGTTTTTATTCCAGCCTATTATTATTAGGCCAAAATGAGCCCTGATTATAACATGTATATCACAGAACAAATGTCAGTATATGATGTATTCCTTTGCTTCCATAAACCATGTACTTATGTTCTTACTCTAGACTGTCCCCTGCCAATCTTCATTCCACCAACTGCTCCACAATCACCCTCACCTATCATCGGAGGCTGGTACAATAGGCCAGAAGTGGCCACAGTACAAGGGACTTAGTCCCACCTCACTAGCATTAAAAAAGTACTCTAGACTGCATACCAGCAGAGCAACCTTTATTCTTCTGCCACAAATGTTGAATTTTCCAATGCTACTTGCATTTGCATTTGTGTGATTCAAATTTTTAGCGTATATTACTATATATTTCCAACAGTTGAAAGTGATAGTAATTCTAACAGCTCTGGAAGTGAAGTGGGAGTCATTTCAGTTTTGGGGATGACAGGTTTGTGTCAAATTGTGATGATTGCAGTTCATATTCAGAGAGTTCAGTGGATACATCACAAGCTAAATCATGGATTGAGATGGAGCTCATCCTTAACCACTATTTTCCCATTCAAAAGTACAACAGCTACACATTTTGAAGCAGAACAAGATGATTATCTGTTACAGTCTCTCAGCCTCTTTCTACACAACAAGTTAGTGGGATATCATAGTTGATTAAACTAGCAGATATGCATATCTGCCAGCACCAAAAGAAGGGAGGGGCAGGTACTGCTAAACAATGGCATTCTACAACGAGTGAAGAAATGCATATATTTTTGGCACTTGTAATTTAATGAAGTGTTGTGAAGTTTCCAGATCAACAACTGTACTAGTCAAAATTCAGTGCTGTCTGTTCATTTTTCTGGTAATGAAATATGGTCCAGAAAGCCATTTCAACCAAAGCTAAATACAGTATGGCCAGTATTAAAAAACTGGAGAAGAATTTTATTGAGTTACATATGCTAGAAAAATCTGTCACTGTAGATGAGAATTTATTGCTATACAATCGAAAACTTGGCTGGAAACAATATGTTCCGTAAATGTTGTGTAAGGCTAAAAGTGGGTATGTGTTTCTACCATAAAATACAGTGGGAAGGGGAACCAAACTTAATAAGCAAACAGAGATCTTCTGGTGTCCTTGCAAATTGCAACAACACTTTCAAAAACCTTCCTGGACAAGGAATATTGTCTCACGGCTGACAGTTCCTACACATACCTACAGCAGATGTCTTGCTTTCCTTTACTACAGATATGTATGGCACAGTCAAGATGGCCAGGAAATATGTGCCTTCAGTTACGAAAAACAAGAAAACTGAGAAGTGAGAAGTAATGGCATTCCAAAGGGGACACCTTGCATTGGAAAGACAAGAAGGACGTTCTACTACTGAACATAGTGCATAATGCAGAAATTAATTTAGAAGTTGACAACAAGAATAAGATAAGATGAAAAGTCATCAGCTATAGTGACAAAATTGGATGGGTAGATCTTGTTGATCAGCACTTATTTGAATTATTCAGTATCTAGAAAACAAGAAAAGAAATCCTACAAGAAGATATTGTCACATGTTTGGAGTGTGACTATAAATGGGTTTGGGACTGATGATCAGATTCATTCGACTCTTTCCCAACACATGACTACACTTTACAGTTCACTATTACACACACACTAGTATCCACAGTCACGGTATCACTAGCCATTGCTTGGTAGCGGCTTTTGATAGTGGGCATTCGTCATCTTTTGGGTTCCCAAACTGTCCCCTGGCCTCAGCTACTGGCTTCTCAAAGCAACAGCTCACAATGACTGAACCTCAGCAGTTCTCTAACTGATTGACGAACTCAGTCACCAAACAAATGTTTCACTCCATTCAACTGACTGTCACTAACTGTCCTGCTTATAACATCTCAGCACGGACTGAACAGAAAACACTGTTCCTCTCTTGCTGTTTATGGGCCATTGCCTAGTAACCACAGTTGTCTAATCATGGTCGTTGCCGAGCATTGGGTCTACATGCCACAGTATTGTAGCATGTAGACCCGTTGCTAAGTAATGACTCTGTAAATAACGCCTGCTGCCAGGCAACAGATTCCTAGCATGTACCAATGGACTAACTGGGAAGCGGTGTTTTCTGCATGGTCTGCTAAGCAACAGTTGAACAGCACAAGAAGAATGGTGTTTTATATGTGTGGTCCCCTAAGCAACAATTGAACAGCAACAGAGGAATGGTGTTTTCTGTACAGTCTATGCCAAAATGTTATAAGCAGGACAATTAGTTAGAGGCCGTGCAGTGCATGGAAGTGAAGAGTTGGTTAGTGAGTTAGATAGAAAACCGCAGTTCAGTCGTTGTGAGCTGTTACTGTTAGAAGATGGTAGCTGAGGCACAGGTTTAGTTTGAGAACCCTGAGTAAGGGGAACTTCTGCCATTGGAAGCCATTGCTGAGCAATGACTGGGAAGACATAGCAGACTGAAAAGACTTGGTGCATGCTGTAGTGAATTGTAATGTGTGTGAATTAGCCATAGCACTATAGTTACTTGTAGTTATGATCTGTAAATTGTCAATAAATCCAATTATCAATCCCAACCCTGTCTATAGTCACTCATACATGTCACAGTATTCTTTCACTCCTATGTATTCCACTGGGAAACGGACTAAGAAGATTCCTCAGTAATAGAGATGATTGTTGAAAGACACTGACCACACATAATTTCACCAGAAGCAGGATGTTGAGGAAAATCTCCAATTCTCCTTTGTTTATCAGGAATAATTTTTCTTGAGGAAATACCTCTGAGAAGTTGGACAGTCTTGGAAAAGAGAGTCACACATCTTGCAGCCCTCCTCAACTAGGCTCTTCTGCATTACAAAGGCTGTACACTTTCATTTCTTCAGGCTGTGGTGCTGTGGCTTGTAGAGATTCATATGGTTTTGGCCCAATGAGACTGAGGAGCACTGGCAAGAACATGGTGCCGTAGAACAGGCCAAACATTACAACTAGGAAAAAAATCTGAAAAGATGAGCAAAATATTTCAGGCTTATATGCAATCCATAATGTTTCAGGCAAAGAAGATTCTCAATAATGAAAGCCATATTTGGGAGCAGTATCATTACAGTAAAATTTCAAGGAATCACTGCCTTTATCATTAGTCATTGCATGCGTTTGTTCTATCAAGAATGGGCCAGTAGCTCATACATTATAAAAGACAGCTACAAAATGGAATAAAATGCTTACTTTAATGCCAAGCAGTTTCCTTTAATAAAGATGCAAGATGCCTTCCTATACTTCTTAAATGCTGTATGGTAAACAAACATTTAACATGCTCTCTGCTCTGATTGGTCACTGCGAATCACATATTTTCAGATGGACATCAACTATCTAGCTGGCATGAATGCTTAAAACATTCTGTGGCTCCACCAGGGATGGGGTGTGTTATAATCACAGATGATCAGAATAATGCATATTACACCAATTTCACTGTTCACTTTCACCAATGGGTTTTAGTAATGGAATACCGTTTTTCCTATAATGTATTGTACATTTTCAGTTGAAATTTATCTGTGACAAGGCATACTTAACTTTTAGAATTGGGTTGAACTATCTACATAGATATGCTACAGCTTTTTCAGACATCCTTAAAGTTACAGAAGATGCACTACTAATGGATTACAATGCACGTTCTGTTTTCCAGCAGCTTCATGATTATTCATCTTTGATTTTCCTATCACTTCAAGATGTGAATGAGCATCATCGCTCCTTTTCTCATACACAATATCAGAATTGCTCAGAATGTTGTAATGGGATTTCTATCATTAGAAATCAAGATATATTAAAATACTGATGCAATTAAAATAAATTACATTAAGAATGATAGACCTTGTCAGTACGGTTAATTAAAAGTTTTTATTTTATAAGTGAGTCCAGTGACAGTCATATTTTTTTTACTATTGATATATGAATGAGATCTCATGCATGGTTGCTCACATGTTTGTCTGCAAATATCTCTAATGGTAGAAATCCCTTTGCAACAGCGGGTTTATCATACGTGTAAAGGTTTGAAATACTGATTTGTTGCATTTGATGACCTTGATGAATGAATGAATGAATGAATGTATGTATGAGGGGTAGGCCTTCTCGGCCCTTGCACTGCTACCTACAGTGGTCTATTGTGCTTTGATGACCTTGATACTTTTTAATATATGTTAGAAAGAGTGAGGACTCAGAATGTCCCTTACAACAATAAGTGATGCTAATCAAGCTAGAGTACTATAGATGTCTCTGAAATTTGTAGGCCTATCTGATGCAATGCACCAATCCCTGATTTTTTTCCATATATACTCATACAAAGTTTGGTCAGAAGGTGACCTGTTATTTTAGAAGCCGCAATAAATTCATTTAAGAATTGTGTCTGGAGGCACAAAAGAAATTTAGATTTAGTTCAAAATCAAAGAATGATGATTCTAGCACACCGTAACATGATGTCACTGTATTACATTATGAAACATTCATTGTATCATCACACATTTACCTTAAAGAAAGATGTAAAGATGTATGAGTCAGAGAGTGCAAGCATGCTAATTGCTAGTAATGTCGAGAGTCCACCACTGTAAATGGCTGGCCCTATGCTTGTTACTGCATCCAGTGCCCTGGCTGATCGAGTACCAGTCCGTGATAGGAAAGCCAGACATATGTGAGCAGCATAGTCCACACACAGCCCTGTTGCTAGCTGCAGCCCAATGCAGGAAGTGCTGTCAATTGTTTGGCCCCAATAATGCAAGAATCCCCCTACAGACACCTAAAAACGAATTCATGGCCACAGTAGTCACAGCATAACAACTGAAGATGCATCAACTTTCTGCTTTAAAAATAATATACTAGGGACTAACTGTATTAAAATAATTTTTCCTTTATGCTTGCTCAGGGCAACTATTAGCTTCTCAAGAATGACTTTGCTCCAAGGAGTTGGTTAATTAGTTCATTCATTCAGTGATTTTACTTTTAAGTTACCAACCTGTTTCTTTATTGTGTTATAATGGCCATAAGCATATGGAAACTGAGACGAACTTCACTTATGATTTTGTCACCACAGCAAGTGGTGATGACCTAAACATCAGTTGCCTCTCTTCATACTTAAAGCTGCTGGATATGTGTTATACATTCCATCTGTATTAAATTCTTCAGTGGGTTGTTCCAAACCAAACATTACGTTATTTGTTCTATTACAACGTGAAAAGACTATAACATCATTATTTCACATGGATATTTGAGGTTCTCACAGGAGTGAATATGAAGATTCCAGTCTTCTGGAATGTGATATCCTTTATTATGATAGATGGGTATCAGTTTTTCATAAGAATCTGCTGCCTCAATCTTCAGAACTCCATTTGTACTAATGAAGATGGTGTAGCAGATTCCTCCAAAATGATGTATTTATCTACCAAACTACACACCATCACTTCCAAGAAGACTGTAATCATCATTAATATTTTACACCTGTCAGAATCAGTAAAACTAAATTACACTTTTGTAGAAGTTCACTGGGATCTTGAATGCACAGAGGACAAATTAAACAACAGAGTGCTATTTACATGTAGGATTGGAGGTTCTCACAGCAGTGATTATGAGAAGTTACGAGGAAAACTCTGCCTCATTTTTCAGGTTGAAGGGTAAGCCAAACAAACAAACAAACAAACAAAAAGGCAGCAAGCTTGCTTCCTTGGCTTACTCTTCAAACTGATGATGGAGGTAGCATTTTCCTGTAAAATATTGGTTGACTTTCAGTGGGCTGCATGATGTAATATACCAGGAGATAGAACACTACCATTTCCTAACCTTCTGTACAATAATATGTCAGTCTTTCACCAATTCTGATTACAGTATTATAAAATAATTTAATACACTTAATACAGTAACATAAGTATAGTAGTTACATATTCAGTCTGTGACATGCATGAGGAATATAATATCTACAAAATACCTTTCAGATTTTAGGCATATTATAATGAATTGTTCCATAAATAATTAAGCAGTTATTATCATCATCATCATCTTATTTTATTTAAGCACTCTTTTGAGACGTGATGCAGAGAAGTTCACATTTTTACATTCTGGTACTGAAATATGGTATGAATGTTAGACATGACAAGTTTGTAAATTCAGCAGCTGAACATTCTCTGTGCAAAAACTTAACACTCCTTGGCATTCATATAAGCCCCCAAATATTAGCCTGTTATGCAGATAAACATATTTAAAGTAATTCATATACTAGAATTCACTGAAATAATAGACTTGAAGGTAATATTTTGAGTATTTCTAAGACGGGTCTTTGATTAGAACTACTCAGTGATATTACTGTCAGGTTACATCAAGTAAATTATTAAAAGGCTATTATTTTCTAATTCCATCAGCACAAAACTCAAGTTATTAAATTATGCTGTAGTAAATAAGTATTAAAGATTGTGTGCATTAGGAAAAGGCCAACAGTATTGTGACAAGAAATTCAGTGGCTAGGAGACCCAAGAAATTAATTTATATCAGTGAATAAATAAGCAATCATGTCACTGTACTGTCTGTAAAAGTCTTGTTCATGTGGTATTTCTATCAACTATGAATTACTGGTACTGCTTCTTTGTATGGTACATTGTATCTGAATGCACCTGTCTGACCTTCCATTCACAAGTTTCAAATTGAGAATCACTGGGGGAATCATGTTAGGAAATATTAGGTAGAACACATATTGTAACTGTGTACTCCAGTATGGATTGCATCTTTCCAATTACGTTTCCCTGGACCAAGTTATGTCTTCAAAATATTTTCAGTACATTCTAAGCACTGTGCACTCACCAGCGTAAGAAGAACACACAGGAACACTGAGAGACATGCCATAATGTTGATGATGAGCAGCAGTGTGCATACCATCACACAGACACATGCTAGTGACAAGTTGCGATACAACTCAGTATCTATTACCTATAACAGACAAATAACCAATCATTAATTTAATCTACTTTAACCTTGTTTACATAACTGTCACAGACTGCAAATATATATATATATACATACATATGTAGTTTGGGTTGCCTCTCAAATGGTACCCAAACTACATTGGTATACGCAAGCCATTAGGTGGAGTCATATAACGAGATAGATGAATTACTTGTGATTTCTTATTGTGTATTTGTTGGAACTTATATAACAGCTTTATGACAAATGCTAAAAATGTCCATAACCTTTTCAAAGAAGAGCATCACTCACTTTAGTGTGTCTTGTGCAACACTGCAAAGTTTTCCTGCGTTAGTGCTGTTCAAAACGTGTTTCAGTCCCCCAGGCTTTGTGGCCAATTCAAACAGACTCTTTCTTTTAAAAATACCCACAGAAAATCATGTGGGGAGATTGGGGTGGCTAAAGACCATGCTCAGCAGTGTGGTCAACAAAACACTCTTGCAACAAAGCACTTGTTGTGTGCTTAGTGTGGGAAGTTGCCCCATCATGCTGAAACCAGCAATCACTTCCTTCTTTCCCAACAGAGAAATTAAATGAATCAGAAGATTCTAATGTTGAACATTAATTGTCTCCTCAAAGAACAGTGTTCACACAAGTCACGCTCAAGACACTGCGCATCACATACCAGTCTTCAATGAATGCAAGTAGTTTTATGCCTGTGTGGGTTTTCAGCACTCCACAACTGGCTGTTTTGACTGTTTATGTGACCACTTAAATGGAAGCACACTTCGAGTAATATCTTCATACACAACTCTACAAAACCAGTGGCAATACTGAATTCTTGCAGGTGAATCCTATTGTTGCAACTTATGCACTGACTGAAATCAGTATGGTCATTCATAATTTCAGCTGTTTTGTCTCTCAACAAGCCCTTGCCAGCGATAATCCAATTCACCGTGGCAGTCTTCCTGATGATTTCTATGGAAATTTGGTTAGTTTTTCTTCTGCATTGCAGAGCATACCACCAGTTTCAACTGTTCAGCAAACAATATCAGTGCATGTAATCCTATAGAATGGACACATATTTTGCTCGTGAATATGCCATGCTTGAATCTCCAGAGCTTCTGTGCAGCTGACAACAGCAGCAGGTGATACTGATTCAGATGGCACAATGAAATTTGAAAGAGTATCACTTGGGGTTTCCATTTGTGTACTCTAGTATATGACTGTTATTTGGGTTACATTTTAAATATGAGGTGCAGACTGTACGTACATTGCTTACAAGCTTGATATCCATATTATTTATATTATTTATATAAATTATTATTTATTATTAATTTATTATTATATTATTTAATATTTGTAACAAACAGACCTATTTCTTACCTTTAAAAGATATGGTGAATATAAAAATGACAGAACACCTCTTAAAATATGTAAATAATATGACTATGAAACATTTGTGAGGCATAGTTTCTTGCAGCTGAGATTGATTTAACGCTAAGTTTTCTTGCCGAGTATTGGAAAAGACAGATCTGCCATGAAAATGGTAAATACACGGGACAGTCAGTAAATAGGTCAAAAATGGGTGTAAACATGTAACGTTATATTCGAGTCTGGAAAAGAATATTTAGTTTTTGACATATCCTCCACCAATGTTGATACACTTGTCCCATTACTTCACCAGTGTGTTGAAACCCGCAGCATATAAGTCTTCTGACTGTTGTCTCAGCCACTTCCGCACCTCTGTTTCAATCTTTTCATCATCAGTGAAACGTGTGCCACCAACATAACTTTTTAGTGGACCAAACAGATGGAAGTCATTAGGGGCCAAGTCCTGGCTGTGAGGTAGATTTTCAAGAAGTTCACATTGCAGTTCTTGAATTCTTTCCTTGGTTGCTCAGGTTTTATGGGGTCTGACGTTGTTATGATGAAGCAATACTCTTGCCAGTTGGCTTGGAGGATTTCTGCAATTTGCATCCTGAAACTTCAATAGTACTTCACAGTACAATGCAGAATTCACACTTTCACTGTGCTTCTGAAAATGGGCTAAGAGTACTCCCTGATAATCCCAAAACAGCTCCAGGGATCCTCGCCCTAGCTGCAGGAACCGCTGCCCGGGCAGCCCATACCCCTGCCGACATGATGCTTCATCCACCCATCGCTGGTACCATCCCTGCTACAGACCCGGATGCAAAAATGTACTCAGCGATGGGCCTACCCTCAGCAGGCAAACTAATGCATGGGACATCACAGGCCGCCTTTACATCATGGACAGGTTTAGTAAACGGCAGTTTCTAGGAGACACGGTACTGGATCTCAGCGCTTACCCCCACAGGCTCATACTGCGATTCAAGTAACTCATCAACTATGACCTCTATGCGGCTAACAGCACTACCATCCCCACCTACGGATGGTTGTCCCTCAGCCTCAACTTGGGACTATGCCAGGATTTCACATGGCAGTTTGTGGTGGCCGACGCCACACATCCGCCCATCGGTGTTGATTTCCTCTCCCATTTCGACCTCCTGGTGGACTGCCAACACAATTGCCTACTGGACAGGGTCACATCGTTATCTCTACCGGCCCAAGCTGCCAGCTCGCTGATCCCCATTGAGTGGTGGCACACCGATCGACAGCCTTCTTGCCGAAGTCCCGGACCTCACCCACCCCGCCAAAGTCCAGTGCGAAGTACGCCACAATACCGCCCATCACATCTGGACTATACCAGACGAACCGGTCACCTGCCGACCACGGCGACTGCCACCGAGCAGACTCGCTATCGCCATAGCCGAATTGGATGCCATTTTCCGCGACAGCACAGCTCGCCACTCCGAGAGTTTCTGGTCTTCCGTCCTACACGTCATACCCAAAAAGGACAATAGGTGGCGTCCCTTCAGTGCACTCAAAACCCGGACAATCCCAGACTGTTACCCCGTCCGTCATATCCACGATTACTCCCACCAGCTTTTTGGGTGTTCCATTGTCTCCAAGATCGACCTGGTGAGAGTGTACAGTAAAATCCCCGACCATCCTGATGATATAAAGGCCACGCCAAAGCTCAAGCTGTTAGTCGCTGGCTTCCCACCGTGGCGGCCAGGGTTCGATCCCGGGTCTGGTCAAGTGGGATTTGTGGTGGACAAAGTGGCGCTGGGGCAGGTTTTCTCTGAATACTTCGGATTCCCCTGCAAATCTTCATTCCACCAAATTCTCCATCATCATAATCACCAGGGGCAAGTACAATAGGCCAATTAGTGGCCTCCGTACCGAGTGGACCCAGATGGACTCAACCCCCCCCCCCTATGCGAATTAAAGAAAAATAATCCTGACTATATACAGAAGGCCGCCATAACCACTCCATTTGGCCTATTCGGGTTCCTGTTCATGTCCTTCGGTCTGTGCAGCCCCCCCTCCCCCCAAACGTCTCAATGCTTCTGTAGGGATTTGTCTTCTGTTTCGTCTGCTTGGACGATATCCTCGTCTTTTCCCGGTTACTTGAGAAGCACGAGCAACATCTTTGAGTTCAGGGCTGCCACCCTCTCAAAACCGCCAGTGAGCTCCACGTTTTCTGGGCATGCTGAACTTGTACAGGCGATTTCTGCTCCACGCAGTGGCCACCCAGGCACTGCTTCATGACATAATGCTTTTCCGCCACATGCTTGAAGTACGCCACTTCATCATCCTTACCGACCATAAGCCTATCACCTACTCCTTCCAGCAGAATTGGGACAAATACTCACAGTGGCGATTTAATCATCTCGACTTTGTGGCCAAATTTATGACTGATATACAACACATCTCTGGACATGACAACGTTGTCGGTGATGCACTCTCATGTCGAGTCCATAACTGCACCATTATACTATGACGCACTCACAGCATCATAGTACAGCTACAAAGAGCATCACACACTCCTGGAGTCAACTACCACCCTGCGGCTCGAGAAATTACCAATTCCCGGCACCACTATCTTCATCTACTGTAAAGCGTCTGCTGGGAGATCTCAGTTGTATGTTCCAACTCCCCTACAGCTCCAAGTGTTATAGTCCATCTATGATATATTGCACCCAGGCACCAAAGCAAAGGTGAAGCTGGTTGCACAGCGTTTTGTGTGGCTTTGGAGCCCCCTACAGCGGCCCCTACCATGTCTTCTTACAGAGAGAGAAAACACTGCAACTCCTCGTGCATGGCAGGCCCCTCACCATATCAACCGATTTGCTCAAGCCGGCCTACATACTAAATAGGCCTGACAGCTGGAACACCACATTCAACCCTGCGGTTGACGCAACCTCGGCCATAGCACCACCTGTCACACCACCACCACCCACCGCAAGAACTACATGCTCCGATCTCCATGTCCGTTTCCCCCTTCGCTTTAACATATGAGCAACCATCTTTGTGGTGGGGGGGTGAAGTGGGAGAGTACCAGAATGCATCTCCAGGCCATCTACACTTCTGGTTGGTCAGCAGAGCGAAGCAAGCACTACCCACTCAGCGTGGACCACAGCAGCACCAATTCCCACCTCCGACAAGCTGGAGCTACTCTTGCCTGGAGACAGCTAAGCACAAGCCATCCTGCTGCGGTTGGAGCTTCGCAAGCATTTAGCAGGCGCTCCCTGCCTTAGAGTTATGACCTTGCGCACATTCTGCTTGCCTGCTTGTCTGTATGCTCTTCTTCTAACAGCAATAAATATCTGTTACAGATATTTACTTGGTTTTCTCTCGAAGTCCCAGAAGTGACATCCCATGGTACTTATTTGCTGCCTTTATATTATGATTTTGTTCTGCTTGTACATTCTGGTGATGAAATATCAACAGACAACACAAGTGGCAAAATTTCAGTGTGTGTTCAGAATGTGATATTCACCAAAAATTATTGTTGTGCAGTAATGATTTTTAGCACCCAGACAACTGAATTGTTTGCTATTTTGACCAAAACTGCATTAAAGCTAGGTACAGTTCTGGAAGTGGGGGCAAGCAGTAGCATAGTTGGTTGAGGTACTATGCTACAAGCCGGAAGGTCACGGGTTCAAGTCCTGATGAGGTCATTGCATTTTTTTTTCAATTGACCTAATCCTTCCAGCTGCACTATGGTCCTGGGGTTGACTCAGCCTCTAACAGAAATGAGTACCAGGAATATTCTTGGAATGTTCTTAGGGGTAAAGGGTGGCTGGCACGTAGGGCTAACAACCTTGCTGCCATCTGTGAGCCAATTGTCAAAAAAAATGCTGGAACCTCAACATCTCACAATCCTACAGGACTCCACGTCCTGTTACAGGGATACCTTTACTTTACTTTCACAGTTCTTGAAGAACAAAAATTTCTTACATTTAATATGGGTTATTTAAGACACTGAAATAATCTAAATATGGGAAAATAAATACTGGTTATATTGGACTTTGACTTGAACCAGAGAACATATTAACTAAATGCAGTAACACTAAATTGGGATTTCAGTATACTACACAAGTCAGATTAATTATTCATTAAAAAAAGCTTCAGTCTGTACTCACCTCATCAGTAACCCAGTTAGCAAGAACTTTACCCCACACAGTAGAAAAGCGGTCACCTGTGGTAAAATTTGATTCATGAAGCAACTTCTTCACTTTGTTCATAGCTGGCAGAAACTCTTCTGGTCCATCAAATAATTTGAACTTAAAGTCAAAACTTGAAACCTAGGAATATAAAACATGGCATTCAGTTAATTTTGTTTGTGTGTAAATGTGACTGAACACTGGGAGCTATGCCTGTAATTTAAATACTGGTCTCAAAACCAAATAATCAAGATTTATTTCATATGTTAACTTAATCGGTAATGGTCAATGATATCCAGTAAAATCTGCTGTTGTGCCAGTCATCATCCCCTTAGAATAGGTTACCCATGCATCCTATCTTGTTTGGCGCAGTCCCAATTTTACAACCATTGTACCAGTGTCACCACAAATGTTGTTATGATGCAACTGTATCCAGCTTTTTAACTTACAAGAAATTTTGGTTTAAGAAGCATTTACTTTTGCCAGTGAAATTTCAGTTTCCAATTATATGCTTAAATCAGTTGCCAGGATTCAGTACAGTTTAAATGCTGCAAACTATCATTCAATAGAAACATCGTTTATGTTTCGTTTCTTCACTCCTGAATCACTGAATCTATTCACATGTAGTTCTACAGTACACACTGTAATACCTAAGCCCATTGTTGTGAACATGTAACCAAAATAACGATTGCCTTGTACAAGATGTTATGTTGCAATTTCTGTTGTGTCTTAATGATATGGAAAATGCTTCTGTTGTGTAAACTAGAAACTTTAAATATAATATGAAGGTTAGGGAAGAAACAACTTTCAAAAGTGGTTTTGTATATGTTTAAAATACTTCTCTAGACCACGTAATTTGATCACTGTCTGCAGTTCCTTTTAATGCTATTTGCCCGGTTTCTTTTTTCTGAATTACAGGGACCGTACCTTAGAACTCTGAAAACAAGGAAAGTAGACTGAAGCTTATCTCACATAGCTGATTGTATGAACCATAAGCTGAACGATGAAGCACCTAGTGCAATATGTACTATAAACTCTCCATTGTATGCAACAGAATATGTTATTAAAATTGTAGCATTAGTGGCACAGTGCAGACAGTGTTTCAGTCACCCAAGTACAGCACTCACCATAAAATGTTCACAGTCAGTGCACACCCATATTTTCAACTGGCCTTAACATAAACTTATCAGTATGAAGTCATAAGTCTATTTTTGTGTGATGAATTTCTGTGCTTTACAGAAGCAGAAAATGTAACAGTATTATTTTACAGAGCTTACTGGACTAATACAAGCACTGGAAGGGTATTCCTACACCAACCTGGCTGGGAACCAGCCACACATTTTGGTAACACGGATCTAGAGGTATTGGTCTAGACTTATATTAACAAGGTGCTCTGTTGAAGTTTTGGGTAGGATATGACTATCATGACTTAGGTTTTTCATGGTTTCCCTCAGTCCCTACAGGCAAATACCAGAATAGTGCATTGAGTGCTTCCTTCCAAATCGTCTGCAATTCATTATTCACCAATTTTCTTATTATTCAATGCTTGTAGTGTGTGACAGCATTGTAAAATAAACCACAAAGGAAAAGGAACCCAAGAGGGAGGGAACATCAGCAGAGCCCGAATACACTAAAAGAATGTTAAATCAATGATTAAAACTCTCATAGAAATGGTTAAGCTATAAGTTTGATTTGTTTCATTCTGGTCCGTCACAATAACAATTACAAATTATAAATCACTCCGTCCAATGTGACCTGTAAGTTTTTTACTACGCAAAAACTTAACACCCTTACATGTTTCGGTCTCTGTGGACCATCTTCAGAGGGCAAACATCACTACAAATAGGAAACCACTATCACATAATTTGTTTACACGCAAAGTATGTACACTTATATGTTACAACACACAGTACACAGAATAGAACGTTTCACAAACACAGCAGTTTCCTGGGAATGTAAGTTTTAAAAATGTNGACAATCTAAAAAACTTTTAATAAATTAGCATCAAGGAATCTTATACATTTTTAAAACTTACATTCCCAGGAAACTGCTGTGTTTGTGAAACGTTCTATTCTGTGTACTGTGTGTTGTAACATATAAGTGTACATACTTTGCGTGTAAACAAATTATGTGATAGTGGTTTCCTATTTGTAGTGATGTTTGCCCTCTGAAGATGGTCCACAGAGACCGAAACATGTAAGGGTGTTAAGTTTTTGCGCAGTAAAAAACTTACAGGTCACATTGGACGGAGTGATTTATAATTTGTGGTTAAGCTATAAATTACTTTTATTAACTTTTTAAAAATATATGTAATTATATTAAATCACATCCAAATATGGCAAAACATAAATGAAACATTTGGCTTTATATGTAGGGCACACTGGAAGTAAGAGACCATAAGACTCCAATGGCTTTCCTTAATGCTGGATGCATCATTGTCATATGCTTCATTGTTACTCTAACCCCAAATTTTATACACCATAACACAAAGACACACCTTTGGGTTTCCTTCTACTTTGATCACAATACTACTGCAATACTACTTCTACTGTTACTGCTACTGCTGCTGCTGCTACTACTACTACTACTATTACTACTACAACAATAGCAAGATGATGGGACAGTGATTGAAATGATGCTGGTGATGATAACTAGCTCTCTGCATGTCCTCACTTACAGTGATAGGTGGGGCAGGCTGTCCACAACGCAGATGTCCATCAAAACGAAAGTTTTTTTGGTGCTTCGATCCAATTGGGCTAAACAGATATTTTGAAATGTAAGTGCTGAATTCATCATCGGACAGAATATCTGTAGCTATGTCTGAAACACAGAGTGTTCAACCCACAGGGTTCTCATGTCAACTCATATTCAGATAGAAAATCTGATTGTTAATGTATACTTACATAAACATAAAAGTATTAACTAGATATATGTATTTCTCAGAATTACTTGGTTTCAAACTTTGTCCATTGTCTGGTATTCCAAAAACCAGAAAATGCAGCTTTTCAGAAACTGGTCCAGTGATTGAGGTTGGCTCTTTCTAAGAACCCAACACAATAGGTATCTCCCCATCACCTGAGGATGGAAACGGATCTAGCTTCAGAAACATTATGTTTTCTAGTTTTTAGAATAGAGGACAATGGATAAAGTCTGAAAACAAGTAATTCTGAGTCTTATACACTATCAGCAGAGCCTTTAGAATCTAGATATATAATTACCTGACTGCTATACCCTTAAATAAACAGCTGTTTTCTGAAAAGCTGCTGTTATGTAATGACATTCTAGGCATTTGCTCTGTTCTCATCTCCACTGGAAAAGTGGATATAATGTCCTTCTCTTTAGCTTGGAAAGGAAACTGTATCATGGAGTTTACTTTAAGCCATCATTACGTTTACTCATCATCACTGAATGAAACTTAATCAACTGCATAGGTTATTTAGCATCAATGAGGTAAGACATTGCTCACACAAAACAAACTGGAAAAAATTATAACGAGACACGGTTGTCCAAAGACTGCTTCAACATTCACCAGAAAGGACTAAAAAAAGTCACAAAATTTCTTCAATAAGGTGAGCTTGAACCTCTGAAACACAAGTCAATACGTATATTTGTGACCAATAAGCTAATCTGCCCTGAAGGATTTCTATGGATGAAATAAAATTAATATATTACTAATCTCTGCCTTTTAAAAGCATCCTTGACAGATATAACTGTGACATTTGTTGGAACATAAATACCACTGTTCAGACTGGAGTAACATATAAGTGAATACTGAGTAGGGGATACGTTTTTAGAATAAGACAGAATTGGTTTGATTTATTCAAGAAAATCCTCTACTTTCAGAAATTAATAGAGTATCAGAGTGAAGTGGTTATATTCCTATTTAATATTCAAGAGATACCCAGTTTGAATCATGGATGGAATATAGAATATCGTCTCTCAGATTCTTTCATGATCTCCCTCAGTCCCTAAAGACAAATAGAAAAGTAACTAAAAATAAGGAATAAGCACTTATTTTTACATCCTTCCTACACCACATCACCATTTACATAGCCATGTCATTTCTCACTCAGTGCTATATATACTATGCAGTTGAAAACGCCATTAAATAAATAAGCATTAACTTCCAGAGAGACCAAAATGTGTTAAATAAATATTATTAGAATAATGCAAAATGATATATACATGTAAGTATATATTATGCAATTTTTCTTTTAAATGTTTATTGTAAAGAATAATCACTGTGAACAGGTTGTCTAATCTATGTACAAAACCTTTTTTCCCCCTGAAATAACCAGTCTTGACTACAAAAAGGAGTAAGGGGACCTTCCAAATATACAGATGTGCTAACTGTTGCTACAAATCATGAAGCTACTGTACAAATGGAATACAAAATTTTATGAACAAACCTTTTCCTATATTCCTGTTAACATAATATCGAAATCCACTGTACCACTCTTCCAGATTTTTAATAATATTCTCCTCTTTCTTGAACTGTGTTAAAAGTCTGTAGATATTTGGAAGCTCTGCACTGTAATTCAGTCTTCCAAAATAAATTTCGGCATCCTGTCCAATATCCGGGAAGAACTTTGCTCTCTCCATATTGAACTTGTAAAGGTGTGTATGTTTTGCCAAAAACCAATTTGGATCAAATTTCTGCTTTAAGAGGATACACCCTCTGATACCAGCTGCAGCAAGTCCCAGTGTTAGTATAATCACCAAAAACTAGGAAATAAACAGACACAGTTATTTTCTCCGTATTTAAATTTCTATGTAATGTTCACAACATGAAAAACAAATATGTACTTACCTTGCCTGGTTTAGTGAACACTACTTTTGAATATACTATGTACAGGAATTGCTTTGAATATTCAACCTCACTGCAGGGGTTAGGTTTGTAGTTGGTGTGCTTGTAGCATATCAGTGCACAGTTATGGTTTTTTTCAATACGCCTCTCATCCAACACAAAACAAGCAACAAAGAATGTTGCTTGGAAAATGTAAGTCATCAGAAGGCCAGCAGCTGCATACAAGCAGAAAGACTGCAGGGAAGGTAAAATCTACAAAAGAAAATAGTTTAAAGCACTTCTTAAAGTTTCTTCTCCAAGAAACTCTAACCAATCATCCAGGGTACAGCAAGTTCTTAGTAAAGTTTGGTACTGTAATTAAAAACAAAGTATCTTTTAAGCTATGCCTTTAACTTGCAGTCTTTTCTTTCTAACTTCTGGTATAAATTGTTTTATATTTAAATCGAAAATTAATCCCTTGAAAATTTAAATCCTAAACACACTTATCTCAATTCAGGATATGATGACCCTGATCATCAGACAGCAGACTCATAACATGTTTGAAATTTTTTAGCTTCTTTAAAAAAAAAATGACAGCTGCACGATGTATCAAGGGGAACAAAAATAAACAACAGAACTGTGAGTTTTGGATACATAAATTGAAATAGTGCTGATTATCTGGTGGGTTGAGGGCCTGGAGCTAACTTGAAGATAGTATCTCCTTTGTCCATTAATGGACATATTCTTCTGAAATGAAGTTGAATAAAGTACTAACTCAGATAATGATACTGATCATAATGACTGAATAATGGAATTAACCTCAGCAGCACTTGCCTGAGAACTGCATATATTGGGTCTGGTTTAAAAAAAAATCCACTTGGGTGGGGTGCTGTCATCAGGTTAACATCACAACATTTTGCTTCCTTTCTGATGTGTATAATCAGACACTTAGTGTTTAACACATTAAATTGATTAAATATTCTGTAGCCTATTAGTCAAAATTCTACTTGTAGCAGTGAAAGATGGAGTTGGAGGAGGGATTAAAATGTGCACTGATAAAAGCATTTCATATTTCACCCCATTACCTCATACCAGGTAGCTGAATTAACAATTCTCACTCTCAAACACAGTCTATAAAATTCACACACTAACAACTGGCAAAGAACAAATTATCAGGTCATGATGGTAAACTGAACAGTTTAAGATGGTAGAGTTCAGGCTAGAAATTAATTTAGCCACTAGATGTGGCATTAATGGAAACTCTATCAATTAATTTCAAATTATCAGAAACATGTACGTGGTTCACCACCACTATATGGGGATTAGCACTTCTGCAACACATTTTGGGGTCACTGCACTCAACTGCAGAGAAATCAACTCTTCAGATTGAGGTTCCTCGTGGCCTTTCTCAGTTCCTCAATGGAACTTCTGGTTCTCTCATCCTGTTCTCTCATTATGATCTGGGCAAAAGAGAAACTGGGGCTTCATTCAGGTCCAGGGCATGAGATTTTTCTCTTCTCAACAGTGTTCAGACTGGTTCTGGGGCCCACCTTGCATCCTATTCAATGGGTACTGCAGGCCCTTTCTATGGGGGTGAAAAGGCCAGGGTGTGAAACAGACCACTCACCTCAATTTAGTGCCAAGGTAAAAAATGTGTGGAGCTGTAACTTCACTCCCATTATACTTTCATGACTTGGTGCTTAATTAAGCACTGGGACAAGTTTACCCTTAATTTGTATCCTGCTTACAATCTTTCCAATTTGTCACAAAATGAAAACAAGCTGGAATATTATAAAAGCAGAAACAAATAGAGTAAAGGGACATATATTTAGCAAATATCAAAATTCTCCTGAAGATATTTCCTGTCAGCAGTTGCGGAAATTATCCAGGACATTAAAAATAACAATATAAAAGGTTCTAATAATAATGAAGACCCAAAATACTACATGTCTAAATCATTTCAGAATTCCTTCCCTAATATAAAATTTAAAAACACATCCACTAAGAAATTGAAAGAATTATCAAATCCCTAAGATTAAAGAACTTACATGGTTATAAGGGAATCTCCACAAAGATATTAAAGGATAGTGCTCCCTTTATTACATAGTTCTCCTCTAATTATGTTTGTAATAAATCCATAATATCAGGAATCTTCCCTACTCGCTTAAAATATTTTATGGTAAAACTATTATTTAAGAAGGGTGATAATGAAAACATGACTAATTATAGACTGATCTCTTTATTAACTTCATTTTCTAAAGTATTTGAAAAAAATTATATATGACAGACGTTTGCAACATATCGAAGCTAATTACATTTTAGCAACTGAACAGTTTGGCTTTAGACCTGGTGCATCAAAGGAAAAGGCCTCCTATAGATTGACTGATGAAATATTGAAGGCATTGAACAATAGAATGATGATTGGAGGTATTTTTTGTGATTTGCGTAAAGCCTTTGACTGTGTTAATCATAACATTCTATTAACAAAACTGGAGTTTTATGGTATAAGAGGAACATCACTTAAACTAATTAAATCTTACCTAGAGGGCAGATATCAAAGAGTGATTTTAGACAACTCTCATGATTCAGACTCAAACTGGGGATTGATAAGGTATGGGGTCCCACAGGGATCAATACTCTGACCTTTGCTTTTTCTACTCTATATCAATGACCTACAAAAAACAATAAAGGAGAGTGCTGAAGTTGTTTTATTTGCGGATGATACCAGTATAATTGTTAATAGTTCTAATCAGATAAAATTTGAAAATACTGTTAATAAAGTTTTCCTAGATATAAATAGAGGGTTCACTACTAATTTATTGTCATTCAATGTCGATAAGACTCAATTTATGCAATTTGTAACTAAGACTAGCTCCCTTCTTGACCTAAATATAATTTGCGGGATCAAGAAAATAGATAAAATTCATAATACTAAATTTCTTGGATTAACATTAGGTAATACTGTCTCTTGGGAGAGTCATATAGATACAGCTGTACCCAAGTTAAGTTCAGCCTGCTACGCGATTGGAAGAGTCATATAGATACAGGTGTACCCAGTGCTTGAGGTGGAATGAAAATAGAACAGGGATGGTTTTCACCTTTTAATTCATATTGTATTGTACATTGCATTTACTGCCAAAGAAGTAACGGGATGCTTTTAAGCGGGATGCCATCCTGCCACATCCCGCCCCACCTCAAGCCCTGGGTGTACCCAAGTTAAGTTCAGCCTGCTACACGATTGGAAGAGTCATATAGATACAGTTGTACCCAAGTTAAGTTGAGCCTGCTACGCGATTGGAAGAGTCATATAGATACAGCTGTACCCAAGTTAAGTGGAATTGAAAAACTTCTTGTATTCTCATTCATTTTATATGTTGGATGAGCATTTTAAATATAGGATGAACTGAAACTTTTATAATGCTGTTTATATGGTATAATGTATAAGACATTCATTTGATACTTGTCTATGCATATCCAAAATGTGTGCTGATAAACTGCTCATGTTGTTAATGTGTTAAATTATTTTATTATTGTTCTTTTAAGAATGTGACTATAGGAGGACTGGTTTTGTTTTCAGAACTGTCATATATATGTGTGTGTGATATGTTTTATACCATATAGCTGTTAATTGTATGGTTGATGAATTATGCATGTTTGTTGAATTGCTAATTGTTTTCTTGTGAATGCAGCTGTAAGAGGACTAGTTCTAGTTCTCAGAAATAGTAATTGTCAAATTACTGAATTATGTATAATTGATGTATCTTTTATGAATGCTGTTGTAGGATGACTGGTTCTGTGTCTGGAACTAATATGTGTGTGACATGTGCTATATTCAGTGGCTTAAAAATATATATAAATTTGGGATACAGGGTTTCTTTTGGTTATGGAATTGTTGCAAGTGGGATGATGTATTGTATGATAGTGATGCATATGAAATATATAGGTAATTGAGTTTTATAGTATGGTTGACTCATGCACAATATGTATGTTATATTAATATGTAGTTATTGACTTGTTCTATATCCAGAGGTTGTATCACCAAATACGGATTCTTGGAACAAATAAATTGATAGACTGATTGATTACTTGACTGAGAACCGGAGAAAGGGACTACCTCTACTGATTGGGCCCAACAGAGTAGGTTTTACCTGAAGAAAGAGCCAGAATCCAGCCTCTGAAAAGCTGTGTTTTGAAAACTAAAGAGGACGGTGTTTTTAGATAAAGACAGGACAATGGATAATGTTCAAAAACATAATATTTATACAGTTGAAAAAGCACTGTTAAACAAACCAAGCATTGGGCACAAGAAACAGAATAATGTTAGAATATAAAGCTGTAGCATTTATTTAGAAGGTCAGTACTAATATAAAGTGCACAATATCAACTTTTTCTTAACCTACTGTTTTAATCTAACATGTCCACCTTGCAGTTTTGCTCATGTACAGGACAAACTTCTCTCAGATTATATGGTGTGATATCCCACAAGATAGCATCCTACATAATCACTGCCATGACTGCCTCAAATCTCACATAATTACAAGACAGTTTCATAGCTGCATTTGTTTTGTGGGTGCTAATAGACGACATTCACACTTAATTCCACAGCCTTTTGAGACATATACAAAAATTACTTTTTATTCTTTCAGGAAAATTCTAATAGACAATTGTAATTATCTTTAGCATTTTAAATTAAAAAGAGATTCTAGAAACTACCTAAAAATTTAGATCACAGAATATGTCAGAAGTTCTATGTCAATAAGTTGATGATGATGGAAGTGGCATGGGACAGAGACTGTGGGCATTATGGCTTCAGATGGGTTTGATTTACCAGCCCCTGATGATGACTGATGCTTCCAGGGCTTTACTGGAATGATGTTCAGCAGGGAAGAATTGAAGTACAATTTGAAGAAGAGGGGAAAAAAAAAGAACCCACCTTAATGACACTCAGTTCACTGTAAATACCACAAGACCTACCATGGGACTGAATCCTGGACTGTAAGGTAAGAAGCTGGCAACCAGCTGTATACAGTAGGACATGACCAAGGTAGCAGTTTAATATAATATTGCAAACAATAAGCATCACAATGAGCAGGCTGGCATAGCAGTAGGTCGCTACAGAGTTGTATTTAGGAGGTTCTCACTTTGAATCCAGCTGGAACCCAAGTTATTGTGCAGAGATAGTGATTTTTTGGGCTTTGTCCATTGTCCGGATTCGAAATAACTAAAAACACAATGTTTCGGAAATTGGATGTGTTTCTGTCCTAAGGTGAGGGAGGACACCTACTCTGTTGGGTCCCTTAGGCCTAGCGCACACATGCAATTTTTAGTTGGCCGATAGTTGTGCACGATCATGGAGGCCCAAACGACTGTCAAGGGACATGGGCACACATACAATTTTGAGTTGTCCATAACTATGCCAATGAGCAGTCGGTCAGTCGCAGCATGGGTGTGTACCGTGCAGCAGTAGCATGTGCATTGTTGTTAAGATTAAGGAAAAAAGGAAGCGGGAATATTGGGTTCACCCTATTTATAGCAAACGTCTGTTAAAAGGAATATTTTACACATTGTACCATGAACTGAGAGAATACCCATCAAAATTTTTCAGTTATTGCACAGTGAGTGTTGCTAGTTTTGATGAATAGTTGCTTCTTCTGAAACCTCATATCTTGTACAAGAATACAAGATGGAGATTGGAGTTTAATATTTCTAGAATTATTATAGCAAACACAGAAAAAATAAAAAGGTAAAGTAAAGGTATCCCTGTAACAGGCCGTGGAGGCCCATAGGATTGTGAGATGTTGAGCTTCCCACATTTTCCAGACAACCGGCTCATAGATGGCGGTATGGTTGTCAGCCTTACATGCCGGCTGCCCTTCACCGCCAAGAACATTCCAAAAATATAAAAAAAAAATCCAATGACCTCATCGGGATTCTATCCCGCAACCTGCCAGCCTGTAGTATATTGCCTCAACCAACTACACTGATGCACACCCCATTGTATATGTGTGTGCAACAGGGCTCAGAAAAGATAGTCTTAATCACTTCACAACCAATATTACAAAACACTAAGGCTATAAATACCTGAGACCAGGCTAAGTCCATGACAGCTAACAGGAAAAAATTAACACTAAAAATTGTTTCAAGCATGCACATGCGTGGAACCAAGATAGATAGAGAGGTAGAAATTTATGCCATGAAACCAAACCAGTAATCAAGTCCATGAACCCCAAAGCATGGAATAGAAAGGAGAACTACTGAAAACTAATAGTGTCTACTATTAGCGTCATCAATGGAGTAAATCGCGCCTATCTAATTTAGAACCTAATAGAAATCAATAAAGCATATATCACGTCATACAGATCTTCTCTGTGAATTGGTGACTTCATTGCTGATAATGGGGATCCAAATGGGAGAAAAGTCCAAACTGGGTTGGCTAATTGGGTTGGCCGAGCATGCCATATGGGCCGCTTCCTTGTATTTTCTATACCTGTTGTGGCTTTCAATATCCAAAATCCTAGCTTCATCCCAGCCTACCCTATGTCCCTCTTCATAGGCATTTTGAGCTAATTTTGATTTTTCTAGAAGACCTTCTTTGAGGGTATGCCTATGTTCACGAAGCCGTATGGCCAGAGGTTTGCCTGTTTCACCAATATAGCTTCTGCCACATTCACAGGGAATGCTATAGATGCACTGTGCCGTCTGTTGCGGATCTCAGAGTAGGTAGAGTAGATGTCTTCCCTCACATGAGGATGGAAACAGATCCAGTTTCCGAAACGTTGTGTTTTTAGTTATATTGAATCCGGACGATGGACAAAGTCCGAAAACCCAGTATCTCTGTGTGCTATACACCATCATCAGAACCCTATAGTATCTACCAAGCTATTGTGTTTAGGGATTTTCATGGCTTTCTGTAATCCCTCAAGGTAAATTCCACAACATTACCTCAATTAGGCCATAAGCATTTCCTTGAGAATCCATTCCAATTGATTGATCATCCTATGAATTGCCATGCCATAGCTCTAGTGGTTAGTCACTGGCTTCCCACCTTGGCGGCCCGCGTTTGATCCCGGGTCTGGTCTAGTGAGATCTGTGGTGGACAAAGTGGCACTGGGGCAGGTTTTCTCTGAGTACTTCGGTTCCCCCGCCAATTTTCATTCCACCAGATGCTCCACAATCACCCTCACCTATCATCTGGGCCTGGTACAATAGGCCAGAAGTGGCTGCAGTACAAGGGACTTAGTCCCACCCCCACTAGCAATAAAAAAAATTCCTATGAGTCTGCACTCTGTAATCTACATACTGACAGCTTTGTAAAATAAACCATAAGAACAGTATCTGCCACATGCTGGAAACAGACTCCATTATAAAATTTAAAATAGAAAAAAAAAAGGCAGAAATACAATGCGTTCAACAGTAGAAGAAACCTGGCAGCAATGCACAGTGAAAAGAATATTTCTCCCAGAGTGCTGCTTTAACTGCTGATAGCAGACTGAGTCATTAGCGCTGATAAACGCATGACATCAGGAGGTCTGATTTTATCACTGCAGTACTAAGTCACATTAATAGTCAGTCTTTGTTAGAGGTGTCGATATGCAGTCAACAATTATAGTGAAATGAAGTTCACTATTGAACAGCGTGTGTTAATTGTTGAAACTTTATAACAAAAAACTTACAGAAAATGTATCCGTAAGTTTCGTTGTAAATATCCTGACTCACCAGTTCCCATAAAGTCGTGTGTACCCAAGCTTGTGAAAAGTGACGGGGCACAGGTTCAGTGTGTGACATAAAGAAGCAATCGAAGAGGATTGTGCTGACTGAAGAAAAGGTTCGGGATATTGAGGCATGACTATAGATCAGCCCTAGAAAATCGTAGAAGCTCTGTAGAATGAAATAGCACGCCATTTTTCCACAAGCTTGGATACACAGGGCTTTGTGGGAACTGATGAGTCAGGATATTAACGACAAAACTTATGGATACATTTTCTGTAAGGTTTTTCCTTGCAAAAGTTTCGACAATAAACACATGCAGTTTAATAGTGAACTTCATTTCAGTATATATGTCAACCGCCTATTGACACCTCTAACACGGACTGACTATTAATGTGACTTACTGCAGTGATAAGATCAGACTACCCGACAGCGTGTGTTTATCAGTGCCAATGACTCATTCTGCTATTGGCAGTTACAGCAGCAATCTGTGAAAAATGTCGTGTCTGCTGAGCGCTGCTCCTAGGTTTCCTCGATGGTCAAACGCACTGTATTAAGTAGGTTAATAACAACAAATATAGGTATCCATGAACCTGACAGGGTTTGAATCCAAGACCATAGGGTTCTCATGTTTGCAAGTGATTTCTTTATACTGCAAGAATGTTTGAGCAATGTTTATAAAAGAAGCTGACAATTCATTTGTTACTCATCTATATGACTTACTGTCAAGGATCCTACAAGAAATGCTGTGATGTCAGTCACTGTTGTGACAGTAATAGAGGTGCCTGCATGCTGCAGTGTTCGTCCAATCTTCTCTGGTAAAGACGCTTGATTATTTCCAAGATTTAAATTCTTCCAGCAAGTTACTATCACAAACATATCATCCACTCCTATTCCAAGTAGTAAAAATGGCAATGCTGTGTGTACTGGTCCATATGAAATACCCAACAGGGAACAAAACCCACAGGCAACTATAAATGCCATCAAAATGCACAGCAAACCAATGCTGCCAACAAGAAGCTGAAAGAAAACGGAAATAAATTCTCAGTCATAGAATGAGAGGGAGAATGAAATAACAGCTAAAATATCTCCAAAATCACAATGAAGACTATAACATTCTGCACTTTAATTTATTTTGTATATCTGACATCTGATTTCTGCAGTACTAAAGAATATTGAGGCACAATAAATAATATAAACAACAGAAAGCTGAATAAATCATCCACACTAATGAGGCTGTAATAGTGGAATATTACTTCAGGATTATGGAAGAAATTTCGGTAAACACCATGGACAGGGCACTTTAAACCACAAAATTCTAAAGGTGGTATCATTATTGTAACAATAATAAAAAATATTTTGTCAGAAATTGGATGAAACAATAATATTCTTCAGCTGTATCTGAAAGGTGACTTGTTTGAATCTATGTAGGTAACTGATTATTCTTAGTGAGGTTTTTGTGACTTCCCTCATTTCTTCCAAACAAATGTCATGATAGTAACTCAAATCATCCCATAATTGCTTCCATCCAAATGCTTTCTAACTCATTATTCACTGATCTTAGCTTTGGATGTCATATAGTCTGATCTACTGACAGCATCATTAAATAAACCACAAATCAAAATAAATAAGTCTAAAAAATTTAATATTTCTTTTGCCATCATGATTATGTTAACATGTTTAATGCTATATTTTTTTTGCAACGTAATTCCGTATCAGCTTAACTAGAATGAGATCTGTAGGCTGGCAGAGAACAGAAGGACCATGTTCACTGAGAAGACCAACTATTTTGAAAAAGAATACTGATATTTGGGATGTGATACCATATAGTGTGGTACAAGTTTATGAGCTTTCCTCCAAAATATCATAAACTACCACACTACACAGCACCATACCCAAGAAGTCTCTGCTGTGGGAACTTGAAACATGCCATAGTTATTCTTAAAAATTTTTAATCTATGTATTTGCCTGAGCCTATCAAGTTGGCCGAGCAGAGCGGACATGTATAGGAGAACGCTCCATGAGGCACGAGCTTTATAGTGAAAGTTATAGTGATCTGACCGCTGTAAAACGTTATCTAATAGTTAAACTGATAACGCAAAAATGCAGCAGTATTGCAATGATCAACCAATGAGTCAGCCTGGCACGAGTGATGTCAACAAGTATCTACAACAGAAACGTTTCTTGATGCAACTGACCCAATCATCCCAAGAGACAGAAAAAAAAAAAGTAAACAATACTATCATAGGATGTCATCAACTAGTGAAGATGATGCTACCATCCAGGATTCAAATGAAAACATATGGCAAAAAGTAAAGAACACAAAAAGAAGGAAGGTAAATCAACCTGTCAGTCAAAACATAACCTTAACAAACAAATATAGTCAACTAAATGCGGACGATGACAAAAACACCACAACCAAAGTAATAGAGAATAAAATCCAGAAACCACCTCCAATATTTGTATATGGGGTAACGAACTATCAAGACATGGTACATAACCTGTGCAGCATAGTTGAACTGGAACAGTACACTACCAAAACTTTAGCAGACAACACTGTAAAAATTACCTGTCACACTCCGGACCCCTATTGTAAACTTGTACGATATATGCGTGAAAAGAATATTATACATCATACATACCAACTGAAGGAAAATTGTGCCTTCAGGATAGTTATTAAACATCTACATTTTTCAACTGACCTACAAGAAATTGAACAAGAACTCAATAAAGAAGGACACAAGGTAAGAAACATTTTAAATGCAAGAAGCCGGATAACCAAAGAACCACTTAACTTATTTTTTGTTGATTTAGAGCCTGCCACTAACAACAAAGAAATCTACAAACTAGCAAGACTACAAAACACAACTTCATAGACATTATGCTGATAAGTGAAACTCATTTCACTGATAGATCCTACTTCAATATACCAAAGTATTTAACATACTTCACTAATCATCCCGACACTACAGCACATGGAGGAACTGATATATTAATAAAAAGAGCTATTAACCATTATGAGCTTCCAAAGTACAAATTAAATCACCTACAGGCCACAGTGATAAAAGTAAAGATGACCCAATACGAGTTAACTGTTGCTGCAGTCTACTGTCCATCAGTACTGTACACAGATCCTGCAATAGCTACCTTCACTTTGCAAAATCATCTAAATCAAATACAAGAGTGGACAAATACATGGAAAATAAAAATCAATGAAACCAAGTCAGTGCAAGTAAACTTCAGTCTAAGAAGAGAACAATGTCCTGCAGTTTTCTTTGATAACATACAAATACCTTAATCACCCAGCACAAAATACTTAGGTATTCATCTAGACAACCATCTAACCTGGAAGGAACAAATTACTAAAAACGCATACAGATTGATTTAAAAATCAGGGATATGCACTGGTTAATTGGAAGAAATTCCAAGCTCTCATTAGGCAACAAAATTTTACTTTACAAAACAATAATAAAACAAATTTGGGTATATGGAGTGGAAATATGGGGATGTGCTAGCAAAACCAATATTTCCATAATCCAAAGAAGTCAGTCAAAAATACTACGTATGATTACTAACGCCCCATGGTATGTTTCCAATATAACACTCCATGAAGATCTGAAAGTGCCGCTAGTAAAGGAAGTCATAATAGGGAAAGGCACAAGATATCTCAACAAAATAGAAGGACACAAGAACGTACTAATTCAACCGTTACTGAAACCACACAATGGAAGAAGACTAAAAAGGAATTGGCCAGCCGACCTGAGAGAGGGTTAACGAGGACTTATCTCTGGATAAGCCCTCTCCACAGCTAAATAGCTTATAGAATCAAACGTAATTCTGATTGCTAATCTTATGTAAATAATAAAAGAAAAATGTATTCGCCTTAATAATTGAACACAGTTGAGGCCTACACACAGAGTTCATGAAATTTCAAATGGTGGGTGGAAGGCCATACATTACATTGAATAACTCAGAGCCAAATATGTCTGAATGTTCCAGCATGAAATGCCGCTGCATTCAAAATTTGGGTAAATTATGTCTTCAGCAAGTTTCTCATAGTCTACAAAATTCATGTTGCATGTCACCATCCATATTAGCAAAAAAAAAAAATAGTTAATGTAAAGTAATTTAAATTAAATTATTAAAATATAATTCCTGAAAAGATTTCAGAAATATATCTCCTCTCAGATATCTGAAGCAATGAAATGACACAGAGTGCACTGATTCTGTATGAAAGTAAGTGACCCAACTGCACAGTTTACAATGAAATCTATCTCACCACATGATTTGAAAGATCTGCTGCTGTTTCTTAAGGAGAATAGAACTGCACTAGTTTTCTTTATGTATACACAAATTGAAATGCCTGGCAGAAAAAATAACTTAAAAGTAACTATAATTATTTTACTCACCCTACATTCCACCAAGTTGAACTTCGACACAATTAACTGTATATATATGAACATCATGACTATACCAATAATGAGTTTGTCGATATCCTGGAACATGGCAGCAGCACTGATATCTGCAAAGCTAATTGTATATGAAGTTAAGATTGCATCCACTCTCATACAAAACTTAGAAATAACTACCATATACAATACTGAAAAGAGTCAGCTTCCAATACATAAGAGCACAAACCCAGAAAACAACTGAAAGTGTCACCATACCACACAGCAAGTCAGTAACCTTTGGAAGATTGAAGACAACCACAAGATTATTCAATTTTTATTTTAGACCTTTACTACTTATACGGTATGTTGATACATCCTTTAGGAACAAAATATCACTTCTCCACATAATCTACATCCCTTACAAGTGCCTTATGCCACCTTGGAACTAGGGCCTGTATGCCAGCTCAGTGAAACTTTGGACCAGCGCATCTGAGCCACTGTTTAGTGGCCGTAATGAGGGCATCATCATCTTCAAATCTTGATCCGCAAAGGGATTTCTTCAAGTTTACCAAAGAGATGGTAATCAGAGGGTGCCACATCATGGCTATAAGGAGGGTGTGGCAATGTTCTATTTATGGAAGAATGATATCTGTACAATAACATATTTGTTTTACTGTATGGAAATATAATTTGCAAACCATCAAGGTCAACTTAAAGAACTGTCTTACCTTCTTCCTGCCTCATAGAACACTTCAATTTCTTGTGCATGTCTGGTCACATTCTCCATCATATCCATAAATTTCTGCTCCCATTTCAAAATTGGTGTAGTTGCCTGAAACACAAAACTGAGTTAATTACAATTATGACATAATCTATGAAATGAAGAATGGAATACTGAAATCCAGCATTAACATATTTCTATCTAGTGCCCTTCACTGGATTTAGGAACTGCAACATTAATTAGGCTATACCATCTGGGATCTCCGAAGATGTCAGTAAACTTCTACTAGACTACACATCACATCCCTGAAGACAGTAGCTGTCTTAACTAGTGACATTGTTGGAATCTCATAACAGGTAGATACAAAAGTCGCAGTGTGCAAATATGCTTTGAAAATTTCATTAAAACATAACATTAATTTCAGTCTTTTTTCAAGATGTCAGAAATCCACGTATAAACAATCATACATAGAAATGTTTAAGTACCCAGTCAGCTGTTCCTGCTTCATTTCCATTCTCATCAAAGTTGACAGACAGGAAGTCTACATGCACCATGTATAGCGAGAGCAAAGCAGAAGCCCCAACAATGTGTCCTGTTCCATTTCTCCTGATTCCACCCAGAAGCTGCACATAGTCTGTAGAGTGTCCATACACAGGACTGAAAGAAATATATTACATATAAAAATCCAGAAAAATGAGATGAAAATGCAATCATATATTTTTAATTTTGCAGAAACTACGAGTATTATAACTAATATTTTTATGTAATTCATTCGCATACTTTAATGACTGTGTAACATGTGTGAATTTAGTGAATGTATAAAGTGATTGGAAGAAATTTGAAAAATTTTCCTTAATGCATACCATATTCATATACTTGTTTGAATATTAATGATAACTTTGAGGTACAGTCAACTCTCGATTATCCGGGGGCAGATTAACCGGTTTGTGGCTTAACCGGGGCTACTGAGGCTTTTTTTGAGGCTTATATGTTGTTTAATATTCATTCACTTTTGTTTCACATGGTGAGTTGTAACACGCTTTTCGCACTAGTGTGAATCGAGCTTTGCATTCTTTGGTCCCGTTATGCTAACACAATGTTCTAGGGTAGGGGTGAAAGAATGCAAGGATTTGTGGAAAGTTTCAAGGACAGATACACCGCCCCAGTTAGTCTCTTTGTATCGATCTTCAAGTGCGTTAGCAAAATGTCAGGGTGTAAAAGGAAGCGTGTTGTGTTAAGTATTCAACAGAAAAAGGAAAATGCCATGAAAAAGTAAACGACAATATTAAATTTTTTTAAGTGTTAAGTGTGAATATTCGTAAAAAGTGTTGGATGATGTTGAAGACTGTGATTGAAATAACTAATTCATACTTCAGTGTAATGTAAAAAAAGTATTAAATAGGCCATGAGATGACATAAAAATGATGTTGAATAAATTTAAATACAGGTAGGCCTATAGTATTATGAAGGTACAGTATTACAGTACTACTTTTAATAAAATTTGTCTTAACCAGGTTTTTGATTAATCGTGATTTCCATCTCCACCATTTATCCTGGATAACTGAGAGTTGACGGTACTTATTCTTATATGACTGAATTAAAATTATAGATAGTTTAATAGACCGAATAATATTCTAATGGGTAAAATCCGGGGGTACATGGTAGCATAGTTGGTTGAGGCACTTTGCTACAAGCTGGAAGATCACGGGTCCCAATGAGGTGCGGTTTTTCAATTTACCTAATCCTTCCAACCGCATTATGGCCCTGGGGTCAAATCAGCCTGAACCTCTCACACACCTATGAGCCTTCACGGCCTGTTATAGGGATGGCTTTACTTTTACTATGGGTAAAATCCATCTTTGAGTTTTGGCTAATGAGATATGAAAGTATCTGAGAGATAGATTCAAACACAGAAATATATTGTAAGCATAGGAATGTTTGTCATACAAAAAATATATAGAACNTGGAAGATCACGGGTCCCAATGAGGTGCGGTTTTTCAATTTACCTAATCCTTCCAACCGCATTATGGCCCTGGGGTCAAATCAGCCTGAACCTCTCACAAACCTACGAGCCTTCACGGCCTGTTACAGGGATGGCTTTACTTTTACTATGGGTAAAATCCATCTTTGAGTTTTGGCTAATGAGATATGAAAGTATCTGAGAGATAGATTCAAACACAGAAATATATTGTAAGCATAGGAATGTTTGTCATACAAAAAATATATAGAACTCTTCTCTTTCATGTGAACCAAGATAAGGATAACAAAATGTAATAAATGTATACTGTTACATAATTGTTGCCAAACTATTTACACCATTTTCTAGAACTGTTAAGATGTGAAACTTGGAGAACTGAGAACTGACTCCAAACAAGGATAAAAATGATGCCTGAATTCATTTCAGTCACCCACTATATTATTAATTTTAATCATTCTACTAGAAGCAAAAATATACAAGTCATTTGACTCTGTGTAAGCCACTTTCAACTGACTTGTATTTGGATGCTCCTCCACTATTTATCACTGCATATATGCTGTATACACATATGAACATATACTGTGGCATGTAGACCTGTTGTTAGGCAACAACTTGTTCAAAATCATGTCTACAATGTACAAGACTGAAGGCAAGGTCTGATAAAAACTACTGAATCATTTACCTCATATCTGAGATAAACTGCACTGTGGAGAAACATGATTGTGATAAACACATGTTGACAGGTTACTGTTTATCCAGGAAGACCCAAAGCTCATTCAATTTCTTAAGTCAGTTCTGGTCAGCAGTAGAAGTTAGAGGGTTCTGTAGTATTTTAATTCAATGATGCCTAAGAAAAAAGAATACTGTTTGTGCATTTGCTAGCTCAGAAAATAATGATGCAAATAGTACCTGGAGATGAAACAGTGAGACAAACATAAACTTCTGAGGCATTGTATCATTTTAAAAGAAAAAGTTTTTTGTATGCTTGATTAAGAACCACGCCGTGAAGATATATGGGGGTGTGGAGGTATAGAACCATGAATTCTTAACCCTGCCACTAGCTGGAGATCTGTGGTCAGCTTCAAAGTACAGATTCTTCATCCCCTGAGAAAGAGTTCCTGGTAACCACTGGATAGGATTGCCTTGTGGGCCCCAGAGCCAGTCTATACAGTGTAGAGAAGGGAATCTCTAACTCTGCTAGTAACTAAACTTTGATTTTTTGGTCACTGAACCTTTAGCCTAGATACTACAATGAGTGTCAAAAGCGATGTATATCATGGATATCCTTCAAGTAACAGTAATGGTAAATAGGTAGTCTGAAATGTGTGATTTAGCAGGAGCCAAGAGAAGCCTGACTCACTGTGAAATGTCTGAAGGGATATAAATTTCTAATGGCTCATACAAGTATAAGACCATTTTAACCAAAGATTTGGAATGAAGTTTATTTCAGCCATATTTGTTTCATAAGTGGTTATACAGGAGCAGAACAAAAACTGTCTGTGGCTTTGTACTTGCTTGAATTTGCAGAGACTGATAAAAACTGTTAAAATTATTAAAACACGTGATGAAACATAGCTCTACTGTTATTACCACACAAGTATTGAACAACCATCACAATAAAAACCGTTTTCTTTTCCAACTGAAAATAACTTGCCAACTGCACAGCAAAAGCAGAGTCTGGAAGACTCCGCATGCACAAGGCCTCTTGACACTTGGCCTAGCCTGTATGGCAGATTTCGTCTACACATAGATACCAACAAGAGAGACAGTCAGTCATGGGTCCCCGTAATTCTTTCCCTTCTCTAAATTTCAAAACGGCCTCAAAATGTTAATGATTGCATATATGCTGGAGGAGCCTTTTTTGAAGAAAACTGACCTCCTATATATGTAAATACAGCGCCATTTTGTCACATATTTAATACTGTGGCATGTAGACCCATTCTTATTCAACGGCTGTGAAACAAACAATCAGACAATGGCTGTTATTAGGTAATGGCACAAAAGCAGCAACAGAGGTGCACTGCTTTTGTGAGGCCCGTGGCGAGATGTTATAAGCAAGAGAGTTAGGGAGGAGTTGAGTTAGTGAAATGAAGAGTAGTTGGTGTGTGAGTGAGCCAGATGGAGGACTGCTGCAGTTCAGCTGTTGTCAGCTGTCGCTGTGAGAAGCTGGTAGATGAAGTCAGGACAGAATGCTGGTGAAGACACAGTCAGCTGAGGACACCTAAGTGTGTACTCTGGTGCGCTGAAAAATATGTGACTTAGTGGAACGGTTATAGTTACTTGTAGTCACAGATCTGTAGGAGTATGGTAAATCCAGTTTTCAATCTAAACCCCATCTATAGCCACTAAAGCAAGTGACAGTATCAATAATTTCTGAACCTGCCTCTTCCATTCACCTCAGGGATTAAATAAAAATATATTTCATCCCATTTTTCATAATCAAAGTATTTAGAAAAATGGACAATATATGGACATGCATTTGAATCCAGCTTTAAGCACAGTGTGCATTTTTTTGCTGCAGTCCTTTTCAGCCTCTAAAAGTGAAGTGTTGAGGCCATATTCTACAGAAAAATGATGTAGATGTCAAGCATCCTTAGGTTGCTGGACTACTTTTTACTATAATTAGGAAAAGATGAACACTTCTGAATTGTTTTCTCTTAGGCAGAAACAAGGATTATGCAATGAGGCACATTCTGTTACAAACATTGCATCTTCATTTACAGAGAAGAGACTCTCAACACACCAGCAAACCATATCTGGAGAAGCTACCAAATTCTGACTAAAGTTGCACTGAAATGACATATTTACAATTTTGGAGCTGCACAATTTGACAACTGGTATGAGTTCCACCTTTCATATGGATACAGACCTATATGTAGCTGAGCCACTCTCATAATAAGGGGTTCAATAATTCTGTGCTCTTATCATGACAATTAAAATATACAGTGTGGAATCATTTATGAAGCACTCGTCTATAAGTTCTTGTACTCATATATTAAATTCTTTAAGTTCCCAATTTGTATTTTGATTCTGTCATGCGTGGGTCTTGAATCATGATCTCATGTGGAACACTTGTCTTTCAGTCTTAAACTTTTGGAATTTTCTAATAGTGCTTCTGCCCTGCACATTTGGAATTTGTTTTGAAAGACACAGATACCAACTATAAATTAAACCCACTTTTATATACTTTTCTAATTATCATTGAAGCTAGTTTTCCAACTCAGTATAAAAGTAGAAGTACAATAAGGAGCGACTGTATTACACAAGGGATAACAACATCTTTCAAATATGAAAGAACTATATATGTATACATTTTTAGAGTGGTTCAAGATTAACCTGGACTTACTGTTTTCCTAAATATGTTGGCAGAAGGAAAATAAAACTGTTTTGTGGGCAGCTGGTGGCAATACGACACTCATTGCTTGGCAGGTGGCCATGAGCCCATGACCATGTTCAGTTACTGAGTGCAGTGCAGTTGAGTAGAGTGGAGTGAAGTGAGTTGATTGGTGAGCAGTCAGTCAGAGGACCGCTGCAGTTCAGTCATTGTGAGAAGTTGGTAGCTGAGGCATGGGGATAGTCTGGGAACCCAGAGTAAGGGAGATGACTGCTGTTGGAGGCCGTTATCAGGCAACGACTGGTGATGACACAGAAGACTAAAAAGATTTATTGCTCACTGTAGTGAATTGCAGAATGTGTGAATTAGTGATAGCGCTGTTGCTTGGCAACGGTTTTCAACAGTGGATGTTCCCCTTCCTCTGGGTTCCTGAACTGTCCCTGGTCTCAGTTACCAGGTTCTAACAGCAACAACTCACAATGATTGAACTACAGTAGTCCTCTAACTAACGCACTAACTCACTGACTGACTGCAACAAGTAAAAGCCAAAAACATCTCAGTATGAACCGCATACAAAACAACATTTGTTTGTTGCAGTGCAATTGTTGTGATCATGGAAATGTGCTTGTATGCGGAGCCGTTCGCCATGCAATGGTTCGGTAAACACGTTTCAACAATGGAATATGGCGTTTTCCATGGGGTTCGTGCAAATGATTTATCTTAAAAAGAAACGGCGCTACGGTTCAGTTCTGTGTTCTGAGTTCTCGGCAGGAGACAGCCATGGAATGTTCGTCAGCCTGTGAGGATTTAACGTGTGATTTCAGTAATTTATATGTGCTATAGTACATTGGTATTTGTAGCGTGTGATTTGGGGAGACTTCATAATTCCTGTGTTATACATCCGTGAAGACCAGTGGAGACAGACTGAAGATATTAGTGTGGTTTGATCGTAAATTGTTAAATCAACAAGCGCGTAATAATTATTTGTAGTTACAACCTGTAAGCATCCAATAAATCCAGTTACCATTCCAAACCCGCGTCTTAGTCACCGATACATGTGACGATATTATACATTGAGAAATTTTATTCATACAAAAATGAGCTCAAATATATTAATTTAGAAACATGGCATTTAAGAAATTCATACAAAAATAAAATGTAGGTCTTACTCTCAGTATCTTCTGATAGATGTTAATGGATTAGTAGAGGTAAATACTAGAAAGCATTGTCATGGGATTTGGCCAATTCGACAGTTACAGCCTGAACTCTTTGTGAAATATTGTAACACATAATTACTGGCTAAAATGACAAATATTACAATTTTCTTAGCTTGAATTGTAATTTTTCAAGGTGGTCTTTCGTATATGTTGTGGATTATTCATGATCATGTCAAGTGGGTTGTGCAGATTCTCAGGAGTCTGGCTGCACCCTCTCCTCTGTAGTTGATTATATCTTCTAGATTTGTATAGCTATTTCTTTTTCAATAAGACACTGATAGTTGAAGCTTTTACTATTCAGGTGTTAGTCCTGTGCAGCAGTTTGGATGGACTACCATCTATACATATTATTCTGTACGTCATTTTAACACTGTAGCTCTTCTGCCTCTAGATACTGTGGGATTGTACTGATGATAAGGACAAAAATGAAGACACACACAATGAAGTGACAGGAATACTGGATTAAGTGCAGAGAACATAGGTGGTCACAAATTTGTTTTGGAAAATATTGTGACATGCTGCGCAACGAAGAACCCCTACCTCCCCAGCGGCACATAGCGGTAACATAGCGCTCGCGTAATAGGCGAGTCATCACCCCGCCACTCTCCCCGCGGTGACGTCACGAGCGGTGCCGAAGTGAGCCGAGCGGAGCCGAAGAAAGCCGTCACCCCGCATCCTGGTAGCTATGCAACGCGCAACGCGCGGTGACGTCACGAGCGGAGCCGAAGTGAGCCGAGCGGAGCCGACGTTAGCCGAGTCCCCGCGACCTTGAAGCTATGCAAAGCGAATCAACAGCGGTGACGTCACCGAGGGATATCGCGGTTGCTAGGCAGCAGTCAACAACTCCGGACAGTGTGGCTAGCAACACGGCACCAGACGACAATTGTCCGATCACAGCTACATAAGGAGCAGCGAAGGCTATTCATAGTCAGTTGTACTGTGACAGTCAGTCAGTCCTGGAGCTACCGCCGAGTGAGTCCTCGAGCTACCTCCGAGTTAGTTCCGAGTTAGCCAGCAACTAGTCAGTTGTATTGTGGCATTTGGAGTGTACTAATTGTGATACTGCAGATAGCAGAAAGCGTAAATCTGTAATTTGGGTGATTGTAAGTGCGAATGTGAAATAAAATTCGCTATATAAAATACGGCGCGAAGTTATTTGTCGCGATATACGCCCAACACGCGACAATATTATGACTTGTGTGGAGCAATGTGATGATAAAATGGTGTATGAAAGAGTACAACTGTAATGGTGGTATACTTGTATGAACATAAACCTGAAGGATTCTATTCATGGTGACTAATTTCTTCTGTGTATCCATGAATGGAGATAGTATAATTTCCTTATCACTTGTGGATTTACCTGACAGTAGTTCTGTTTAAGGCCTTGATTATCTTCTCCTCTGTCAAGTTGTGTATCTTCTGCTGACTGAACTTCCAGAGCTCCAGCACACTGTGCTCCATACATGCAGTGTCCAGTTTATTTATAATTCTGCAGTACATGTCATCTCCCAGGAGGCTTCCAAGATCAAACACAGAATCTTTCTCATAATCCACATGATCTTTATCTAAAATGAGATTCTCACGTTCATCTCGTTTACGCCGCTTAAAAATGAAATCCACTACAGGAATTCTGGAACAGAAGATTCTATCTCAGATTGTGTGTGCAATATATCAGTTTCTGTAAGAATAATGGCTAAACAGCATTAGGAGTAATCCTTCTGATCTCTGGAGTTAATTACCAACAAATACAATTAAAGTTTTCATAATAAATATACCTGTTAACTTGATGTCAGCTACCTAGTAATATTCATGACCCCCAAACAGAGTCTCATTTTGGATTCATATGGTACATAAATCAAATTCTGAATGATCTGTTGTATTTCAGGTATCTTGTATTTTTCTCAAGCCTCTCTATACATTCCTTTGTCAGACAATTAAACATATCTTCACAGTTTCCCACCTAATTTCCCACAGTTGCCACCCTCAGCACCATTCTAACACTTAAAATTTGAAAGAAATCTTAATTTAAAGAGAAGGTCACTAGATGGAGTTACCTAAAAATTCTTTCTCAAGACTGCACTGGCATCACATTATTACAGTTAACATAGCATAACATTTGGTTACTTATCCATCTTCCCACTCCTCTACATTAGACGTGTAGGAGGTAAAAATGTGATTATACTCTAGCCATCAGAAATGAAATATTCGTGATTACCAGTAAAAAGCATTACCCAAGAATACAATTACAAACATTTGTTCTTCCCGCCAACCAAGCTTGGGAAAATTGTAATGATTCTGACATGCATTTAAGAGGTGCCTGCTTTGATCTTCAGCTAAGACATTGGCTATTCCAACTGAGGATTTTTTTTTGTTTTCCTCAGTCCCTACAAGCAAATAGCAGATGATTACCTCAGATTAGACTTCTACTGCTTCATTTCTCATCCTTCCCAATTTATTATTCATTAATAATTCCATCATTCAATGCTAAGCAGTCTGATTTATTGATAGTGTCATTAGCTACAACACATATAAACAAGAATTACCTGAAACATACATCTTCCCATGTAATGCCATCAGCATTAAGATTTTCCAACTTCTGCTGGATATCTTCCAACTGAAACACACAAAAATTCATACTGAATATTTTAAGCCCCCACACAAAAATCTGTGAATTAGCATCATAATTCAGAGTCACGTGGCCCTCAATTATAGTTAATTATTGAGCTTGGTATGACTGCCATTAAATTCAAAGAATTTCACAGAAATGCTCTCTTTTAACCACTCAACACTGTATGTACAAATGGTATTCTCACGAATGAAAAGATCCTCTGATAGGGAAAGAAGAATATATTATGTCAACACCTGCTAGGAACTATACTCTTGGAGTGCCAGTTCAGTTCCTGATAGTAGAGTTTTTCCATTCTACCACTATTTTCATACAGTTGTGAAGACTGAAAGCAGTGGTTTCCATAGTATGGGGCAGACTTCTCTGCAGGATGTAGTTAGATGGTGGGGGGGAGATATTCTGGGAACGTTATGTAGTAAAATTGAATTGATTATAGCTAGAAGAGTACTATTTTCTGGGATATACTGCTGTGTAGTCATTTCAAAGACAACCAAACACTGAGCAAGATACCAGCGTGAAAGCATATGGCAAGGCAAGTAATCGACTGTAAGAGCCAGTCATGTTATGACTGGCAGTCAGTCAGTCAGTATAAGGGAAGACAGCAATAAAAACATACACAGCAAAGTAAATGACATAAAAAGACTGAAATAGCTGCCAATAAAGATACAATGAATGTATTCTATGAAAGAAACTGACAACAAAAGCAACAATGCACCTAAGGGCACAGAAGACGAAGTGTACAGTGCAGTGTTCTCCCCAGTAATAAAAAATGTTGCCTGATGATGGCCAGTGTGTAGCTAAAACATGTTCAAACAAGGAATGAATGTATAAATTTAATGACATTTTATATAAGGTTATTATTGCATTATAGATGGTATACTTAAGATCTAGAAATGAGTAGGTCAGTCTGTCTTTGTGTTGAGCCTGATTTGGGGCTCATGATCAGATTTTAGTTACTGTTAGAGAGTTACAGTTTGGTCAAAATGGGGCGCCCTCTTTGACAAGAAGACAGGTCATTTGTTAGAGTCATAATCAGCAATAAGTCAATTATATGTATGAGCATTAAAGTTAATAAGATAAATTCAAATTAAATTCTGATGTCTATAACATGAATACTAGACAAAAATATAACTTCCACCTACCCTAATCAACTTTATCAGTATATCAAAAAGGAGTCTACTTTACTGGCATAAAAGTGTTCAACAATCTGCCACAAAGTATTAAAAACTTGGGCAATGATACTAAAAAGTTTAAATCAGAGTTAAAGAATTATCTACATGCTCATTCCTTCTACTCTTTAGATGAATACTTCAATGTAAATAGAGAATGATGTAAAATTAAGTTATATTAATTTTTAAGCTAAAATTGCCTGTACTTATGTATGTAACCTTTTGACTTGTTCTGTATCCAAAGGTACTAACCTGCTTAGGATTTATAGAATGTAAATAAATTCAATTCAATTCAATCAGTTGTCAATATGTACATGTTATTTACAGTTTTACATACAATACATGGTAGAATAAAATACACATATACATACAATGCCTAAGTTACTGGGAAAAGGTGGTTTGAAAACACTGACAAAACTAATAAACACCATATATGAAACTGGGGAGTGGCCCAAGGACTTTACAGAAGTGACACTGATTGCCTTAAAGAAAAAGACAAAAGTTACAAAATGCAGCGACCATCGCACAATAAGCCTTATTGCACATA